TTTAAACACCTCTTCTGTGTCCTTGTACAGGACCTGGAAAATCAGATGCACATAGCAGAGCAGCGGAGGAGAACCCTGCTGAAGGATTTCCATGACACCTAAGCTGGGCTGTGGATGTGCCGGGGTGAGGAAGATGTAGCTGTGAGGCCTCCCGGCTACCGTACTGCATGCTGCAGGCTCTGCCTTTCACGACCCCAGGCAACAGCCAGGGCCCCACTCCTGAGAGACACTGGCAACACACCTTAGTCAATTTGTTTTCTCCTCATCTTTTTGCTTTTTGTTTCTGCCAGGGTAGAGGCTGTCTTGAACTGGTCTCTAGTAAGGACTTTTCAATTTCCCCTGGATGGTTGTTGGGTGGGAGGGAACTTTTTTTTTTTTTTCTTTTTCTGAATGGCTATTAATAGTATTAGATCATTACAACTTATGTAATTTTCAAAGGTTGTCCGATTATAAAGAAAAGGCAAACCATAGATAACACAGAGCCCTTTTGAAAATAAATTGGCATTGGAGTGTTTTACCCTCTAGCTATTTTACTTAGAATGTAACTTGATGCTGCCACCCACCGAGCCTCAGAATGTCTGCACTGCCAGGGCCCTGGGGTGGTCTCTGCTTTCCAGCATCATGTTTCACCATTGCTGTCCCGAAGGAAGAGCATGGGTGGCAGGTGTGGGGGGCGCTGAGTAGGCCTGCATAACGGGCTGGAGCACAGGGAGGTACATGCCTCCTGCCTTAGCTGGTCAGCGAGGGCGCAGAGCAGAGCAAGCTCTTACTGCGGGCTTGCTTTTATTCTTGAATGTGAGGTTTACCTGAGTCAGGCCACCCAGGCCAGACCCCCACAGAGGGGGCTACCACTAGCACCTCCAGACTGGGAGACTGGTTCAGCACGGTGCTTCCTTTTGTCTCATAAAGATAAGAGATCCACCTTTGAAAGGAATAATTCCCTCAAATAAGTTTCCTTTTCATTGGTCGTTCCTTTTGATCCAGTATTCAAGTGGTATACTCTTGACCAGTGTCACATGTGGCCATGTCTGACACTGTCTTACTGTGTATGGTGAACAGAGGTCACAGGGTCAGAGTTCAACATGGCTCTTCCAGGGGCATGAGCCTTGTGGCTCAAGAGCTAGGTTTGCACAAGTTATTTTTATGTTAACCTGGAGTGTGGCCAGAAGCTGCTCTGAGGGAGGGTGTGTTCCCCTTTGCCTAGTTGCAGCTGCCAGGAGACCCCATCTCCATGGTCTGGGAGTCTGAGGCCAGGAGGAATCCCTGGTCTGTGGTCCCAGTTCCTCTGCTAGAAGGGGCTGGTCAGAGGGAAGGGCCAGTTCTTGCACAGTCAAGTGCAAAGGAACAGCAGCTTGCCTGGTGTCCTTCCTGTCTTGAACCTGGTCCTGTGGGCCTTTGAAAAGTTAGATCTGTGATCTCTGGGGTTTCCATGGCTTTGTTCAGTGCCTCCCCTCTGAGACTGGCAGAGCTGTCTATACTTGACAGGCCCTCCTTGAACTGTTTGGAGAGCCTATAGAGAAATCTGTGAATATTATGATGCAGATTCTTTGATATTCATACATTTTCACCTCCAGTCAGCAATTTCCTAGGTACCATGTAAAGCTGTAAAATTGAGTTATTCTTGAAGACAGGTGACAGCTGTGACTCTTGGGGTACATGGCCAGCTGCACACTCTTTCACCTCCTCAGGTTTTGTCTCTTCATGTTGTCCCCGACAAGGAAGAGATTGTGGGGAAGATTGGGAGCAGCAGTTTGGTGTGATGAATGAACCCGGAATAACAGGGCTGATTGCGAGCAAGGAGTGTGTCTGCTTCAGGGCCCAGTGTGGCAGTGGGCCTGGCTCTCAAGTCTGCGCAGTCATGACGCCTGGCCAGTGGCGGCTCGGCAGCCTAACTCCCCCTTAGGCACTTTCTGAACTGCACAGCTACCGTGTTCCCACTCCTCAGCTGTGACCCTGACCATAGGCACTGTGGAGGCTCTGCCAACCGTGGCTGGCACACTTCCCCTGTGGAGACCTGTGTTCCGCACCTCAGTGGCTATCCTTTGTTAACAGTGTCAGGAACATCTAGAAGGTCAGGCAGAGGTTGTTTGGGGGTTGCTTTGGTGTTCTGCCCTGCAAAGGGCAGAGAAAAAGACAGTGTTTTCATGAACTGACCAGATCCTTGTTTTTCTTCAAAGAAAAGTTGAGGCAATGTCATCTGCTCAAAGCTGAGTGGTTTATTCAAAATAAACTAAGTTTCTGATTATAAACGTGTGGAGTCTTTCTTCAGGCTGTCCAGGGAGCTGCCTTCCCCATCTCCAGGGGTTGAGAGGTCCCAGCTATACTTAGCACTCGTGTGTGTTGTTTTGTTTTTTGAGACAAGAGTTTCTCTGTAGCCCTCACTGGCATGGAACTCACTCTGTAGACCAGGCTGGCCTTGAACTCAAAGATCCACCTGCCTCTGCCTCTGCCTCTGCTTCTGGATTACAAGCATGCACCACCACAGCCGGCTTAGTACTGCTTTTCTTCAGGCTCCTTCCTTCAGGGAGAAGGCAGTTCTGGGTGCTCCCTGCAGAAAGAGAAGTAATTTGGGAGTGTTAGTTCTCCTCTCCATGGGGACAGATTGAGCCATTCCCTACAAGCATTTTGGGATTGAGGTAGGAATGCCCTAAACCCTGCTGTGAAATACCTCTGGGTCCTTCCAAAGCAGATGCATAACAATAAGTCAGAGGGCATTATGGTTCTTTAAGTTATAAACAAAACTCAGGACAAAAACTGGAAATGGGTGTGAATTACGATCTGTGCTCTCAGGCACACAGGCAGTGCCAGTGAGGGCAATCTGCAGGACAAGGTGAGCTCTAGCACTGTGGTGAGCCCAACTCCACTTGGCACACAGTGAACTGGGAAAGAATACCCTGGAAGTGCCTTCAGTCCATGGGTAAGATGAAAGGGGCTGGTCACGGGGTGTGTGTTTGTAATGTGTGGGAGTTTTGTCTGTTCTGTGCTATGTGCTTGCCTGCTGCTTGAGGAAGCATGTGGGCCCTTGGATCAAACCCAGGGCTCTAGCAAGAGCAACAAGTGCTCTTCTTAACCACTGACCTATCTTTTCAGCCTCACTAGTGAGTATTTTTACTGGGCAGCGAGGCCCAGGACCATTTGAGATGGGGACATGGTTGAAAATCAGTGCCAGTTGGTACCATGGCATTCACACTGCTTTTAGTGGTCTTTACACGAAGTTGTCCCTGGCAAGAAGGTTCATTGGATAAAGGCATTTGACCAAGCTGAGGAAGATCCTCAGGGTCTACCAGGCAGAAGAAAACGAATTCCCTTTTCTGGTATCCATAGGCATATGTTGCACATGCCGGCAGAACATAGACATTTTTCAAGGTAGCCGCTACAGTGGTGCACACCTATGATCCCAGCACTTGGGAGGCAGAGGCAGGCTGATCTCTGAGTGTGTAAGACCAGCCTACTCTACAAAGCAAGTCCAGGACGGCCAAGGCTACACAAGAAGGACATACTAGTATCTGAAAGCCACAGCATCTTCAGTGAGGGGCCGTAGCACACATGCACACCTGTAATCACAGACCCTGACAATCTGAGGTCATGATTTCAAGTCCAGTCTGGGCTGTTCCACAGACCAGATCTCAAGGGGGAGGGGAAAAAAAAGCCATGCTAAAATGATAAATCTTTTGCTTGCCAATAGTTGAAAATTGAATTTTCTAGAAATCATTAGTTGTCTGTGATACCCAGAAATGGGTTCCTGACCTGAGTAAATTACAAAAACTATGGGGGGGGGGGGGCCTGGAACCTGCTATGTAGATCAGGCCTTGAACTTGCATAGAACCTCTTGGCTCTACATTACATGTATTGGAATTACAGTTCTACTACATCCAGCTAAGAAATTTGAGTATTCAGAAGTTGGCAGTGGAGATTAGTCTGTTTGAATCAAACTTTTGCCAAGAGGTGATGGCACTTGCTTTTAATCCCAGTACTCTGGGAGACAGAGGCAGGAGATCTCTGAGTTCCAGGCCAGCCTGTCCATAGTTCCAGGACAGCCAAGGCTATACAGAGAAACCCTGTCTTGGAGTGAATGAATTAATGAATAAAATACAAACTTTTCGGTTTTGAGACAGGATCTTGCCATGTAGTCTAGGCTGGCCCCAGCCAGCTTAAGTGCTGAGTAGGCATTTCACCCCCTGTAATCCCAGTTCAGGGGCCAGAGATAGTTCCTCAGAGCAAATGACTAGGTGCATTGGTGAGGCCTGCATTCAAGGGAGAAAGCCTGTTCAGTGAAGACGGTGAGGGGAAGACAGCAGTATCAACCTTCAGCTGCCATGGGCACATACAAATGCGCACACACACATTAAAAATAAACTCTGGGGTAAGAGCCCAAGCCCTGATCTCTGCTTCTGTGTGGGGACAAGCAGGCATACCAGCAGAGACCTCTCTCTCCCTCCATACGAAGGAAGACCATCGGTGCTGCTGGTTTCCATAGCATCCCCGCTTTGGCCAAATCCACATTGCTACCCTTCTGACCCAGAAACGTTCAGAACCTATCCTCTTGTGGGCTAGGAAGATTAACAAAGTAGGCCTCGAGGTTAACTAGATAATAAACCGGCATTTAGGGACACGGAAGAAGCCTGCCATTGTAGCATGCTGCAAGGAAATGACCTGTGCAGCCTTAATAGTATGGTACTTCACTGCATCGGGGAGTGGGGCGAGGTCCGCTGACCGAGGGTGTGCTCCCTTCCTGAGGGCAGCGCAGCCTAAGAAAAGCAGGGTTCAACAATGCCTTGGCCTCTGCTCTTCTGATACTCATTTTCTTCTGAAGCCAGAGTGTCCTGGTTAGGGAAAAGCCCTCCTTCCGTCCTCCCTCTTCCCATCCAATAGCCTTGAGGCAAGAGTATTCCTGCAAACTGAGCACCTGCTTCAACCTGAGGGACACTAGGAAGATCCCAACCGTCCTACAGGAAGCCTTCTCTGATAGCCCCAGTCTGGGTCTCAAAGGCTGTGCAGTGATGCACACTGAGCAGCTTACTTGCAGGAGTGCCCCGGTGGTCCAGTCTGACCCCCAGAAAGGCCTTCAAGAACATCTACAAGAAGGTTGTGGGAAACCTTCAGCCAGGTGTGGTGGCGCAGGTCTGCCTTGTAATCCCAGGCAGATCTCTATGAGTTCGAGGCCAGCCTGGTCTGCAAAGCGAGTCCAGAACAGCTAAGGCTACACAGAGAAAACCTGTCTCGAAAAACAAAGAAGGTTGGGGGAAGCTGCAGTGATCTGGTGGTGCCGACCTGGCGGCTCCAGCATTCGGCAGGTGGAGGCAGGAGAGTCGGGTCAACACCTCAGGTCCTTGCGAGTTTGATAAGCCAGCCTGAGCTGTATGAGACCCTGTCTGTTGTGTTGTGTTTTGGTTTTTGGTTTAAAAAAAAAAAAAAAACAGGGGGCGCCCCTATTCTGAGGAATATGGGAGAGGGAATGCGGGAGAGAGCGCCGTGAGGAGGGGCCTATGACCAAGATGTAAATTGAATTAATAAAAAACAAACAAACTGGCAGCTGGAGAGATGGCTCTTTGGTTAAGAATACTATAAGCCCTTATTGTTCATGGAGAGGACTCAGGTTCCGTTCCCAGCACCAACATGGTAACTCACACCGCTCCCTCTGTCCTTCACAAACACAGACACGCGTGGAATGCACGCACAGACATGCAGCCACTCACATATACGTAAAAAAAAAAACAAACAAACTCGTGGGAGCTGCTCTATAATACTCTTCATCGGGTGCGCGGTCACTGGCCTGAGCAGCACACTCGGCTTCTCCCTCCCCGACTGCCCTCGCCCAGGAGCACCCTTCTGGGAGAAGGGAGGGGCTCCTTCAGTCGGGAACCGAGAAAGCGCCAGCGGCAGCGGAGTCTGTTCCCGCCGTCCTCCCGCGGTGCGCCTCCACACTCGTGGGGGCCTGCGATGGGGTGTAGACGGCTCGGGGAGCCTCGCGGCGGCGGCGGCGACGTCCCGGGCTCTCGGGGCGGACGGGCGGCTGCGGCTCCGTGCAGACGCAGCACCTCGAGCCCGCCGTCTCCCGGCGACCGCGGTGCGCGCCGACTCCGCCGTCCGGGTCCGGGCGACTGCGCAGCGCGAGCACCCCCGCGGCCCCTCCCCTGGGCGCGCGCGCGACCTGGGCGCCATGGCGGCGGCGGCGGCGGCGGCGGCCGTGCAGCGGCCTGAGGCCGAGGCGGCCGAGGAGGCCGCAGCTCCGCAGTGGCCGCTGCCCCCGGAGCATCGTCCTCCCGGGCCGGCGACCCGACCGGGCGATGGTGAGGAGGCACCGGTGCGGCCACTGTGCAAGCCACGGGGCATCTGTTCCCGCGCCTACTTCTTGGTGCTGATGGTGTTCGTGCACCTGTACCTGGGCAACGTGCTGGCGCTGCTGCTCTTCGTACACTACAGCAATGGGGACGAGGGCACAGACCCCGGACCCCAGCACCGCGAGCAGAGCCCCCCGTCAGCGCCAACCTTGGCTCCCCTCACCCGGCTGGAGGGCATCAAGGTAGGGACACCCTCTCCCCTCACCCCACCCCCGCGCGGCTCCGCGCTCCAGGCACGGTCAAGCCGGAGGCGACAGTGGCTCGGCTCCGGGACCCTCCGCTCGCCCTGCACCACTGTGTGCGGGTCACGCGCGCGCCCACTTACTTTCCCACTGTCGCGCCCTGACACGGGACTTCTCTTGAGCAGTGCGGCCTGGCACATGAGCTGCCCGCTGCGTACTTTTCCTTTAGGTGGGCTATGAGCGGAAAGTCCAGCTGGTCGCGGGCAGGGACCACTTCATCCGAACCCTCAGCCTCAAGCCGTTGCTCTTTGGTAAGTCTGCAGGACCCTTCTGGGAAGGACCGGGGACTGCGGGGTCCACCCTGAGGCTTCTTTTGACCTCGTGGTTTCTGTTTTGAATCTGGCTGCTTCGCAGAGGCGCTCTCTGAATCCCGAGGATTACTAGGGTAAAGCTCCCTTCTCCATAACGGGAGGACGGACGAGAGGTGCCTTTTCCACACTCCCCTCCCAGGGCCACCCTCCTCTCAGCACACTCTTCCATCCCAGGCCCGGGGGCAGCGTGGGAGACTGGTGCCCGCTAACCTGGAGGCTTCTGGGAGATCGCATTCCCAAAGCTCATCTTGTGGTCTGATGGGAATCACTGTCCGTATTGGAATAAACTGACACCCTCCAGCCGGCCACGCCCCCCTACTCCTGGGGAGGGAGGCACCAGTGTGAGGTCTAGCTTCTTGCTTCCAGTGTTTGAGATTCTTAGGATTCTTGTCTTTCACCCTTCGTGGGCAGGGCCTTTCAGGGTGGCCCTGTGTAGCCACACCACCCGCAGCTCCTGTTTTCTGAGTTCTTATTTAAACTTTGAGTGACTATTTAATTTAATTCTAATACAAAACTATGGTTCTGTGAAGACCCCAAACTGCTCCACGGATTACCAATGTCCACACGGTGAGGGCACCATGCTCACGGACCTTGCCAAGGTTAAATTTGTGCAGCCCTAGCCTGGTACTGGTGCCACCACCACCGCCTTTTATCCCATCACTGGGGAGGCAGAGGCAGGCGGATCTATGAGTTCGAGGCCAGCCTGGTCTACAGAGCAAGTTCTAGGACAGCCAGGGCTACACAGAGAAACCCTGCCTCAAAAAGCAAAACAAAACAAAATCTGTGTAGACAGCTGGGGACACATGGCGTTGGTGATATGAATTAGCAGACCCAGGACTGTCCTCTGCTGCTGGGGGAGGGAGTGTGTAGAGAATGTTAAGAGGTCTCTGGTCTGAGGAGATAGCTACGTCCGAAGCCTGACAATCTCAGTTCAATCCCTGGGATCCACATGGTGGAAAGGAAGAACCCGCTCCCACAAATACACGCACAAATAAATGTAATCTTATTTTCAAAAAAGAAGGCGGGCCTGGAGAGTTGGCTCAGGGGTTAAGAGCACTTGTAGTTGTTGCAACAAAAAGCCGGGTTCAATTCCCAGCACCCACATGGAGGCTCGCCACTCCTCAGGCACCAAACACACAAGTGGTGCACAGACCACATGTGGGCAAAACACACATAAACTAATAACAAATCTTTAGAATTTTGACAGGGAAGACGGGGTCGGGGGCAGAGCTGAGTGCATGTTTCTTCTGTGTAGCCAGAGAAGGCCCTGGCTGCTGTTCCGGAGAAGAGCTATAAATAGCAATGTCCCGCCTATGCTGCTGGGCCCCACAAGGCTGGGAACTATTATTATCAACGTTGCTGTGAATAACATGGAAGCCCATGGCAGGTCTTAATTCGGGTATTGGAGACAGCTTTTTCGGAAACTGACATTCTGATGAGGCAGAAACAGGATAGCCAGTCAACTGGACCTGACGTGACTCAGAGGAGGCAGAACTTTACCCTGGGCCAGAACTCTTAGCAGAGTAACCAGCAGTGCCTCCCTGGGAAATAACTGAGCAGGGGCAGGCAGGATAGTTAAGAGCTAACCTGGCAACTCTCAGGGGAGGAGATCCAGGCCTGGGGACAGCCATGATGGAGGCTGAGGTTTTCTTTCATTAGCCACCAGCCTGTTATATCCAACAAAAACAGAAACAACAACAACAAAAAACAACCAAAAAACCCAAGAGGCTAGAGAAACTGTCGGTAGTCGAGAGCACTTGTCGCTCTTGCAGAGGACCTGTTCCCAGCACCCACGCAGCAGCTCACAACTGGCCTTAATTCTTGTTCCAGCGAACCCAGCGCTTCTCCAGACCCCCCCATGTGGTACCATCCATACTTGCAGGCCAAAAACAAACAAACAAAAACCCTCATATTTATATATTTAAAAAAAAATTTTTTAATCAAGCTTTACGAAAGCGTGGAGGGTGGGAATGTAGCCCAGTTGGTAGCGAGCGAGCTTGCCTATCCATCTTGTGTGAAGTCCTGGGTTTAATCATCAGCACCAAACACAACCCAGCTGGGGGTGGTGGTGCGTCCTGGAATCCTAGCGCTCCGCAGGAAGGGGAAAGAGGATCAGGAATTCGAGGTCATGCTTAGCAAAGCTTGAGGCCAGCCTGGGCTACATCAGGCTGTTGTGAGGGCTGAGAGGGCGTGTTGCTCAGGCAGGTGCAGCACAAACTTGCTGTTTGAGCCCTCATTCCCCGGCTCCAGCCAGTGAGAGATGTCTCAGGTTTTACCATGAAAGCCCTGGGGCCTGCTGCTTGCTGAATGGAGAGGGATAAAGGACGAAGAGTTCAGGGGTTAACGGAAAGTCCATTTATAGCTGAGAAGGCTAATCCCAGCACTTGGGAGGCGGATGCAAGAGGGAGGTTCAGGAGTTCAAAACCAGCCTGGGTGTCTTAGTTACTTTTCCATAGCTGTGAAGAGACACCATGACCATGTGTGTGTGTGTGCGCGCGCGCGCATGGGCATGTGTATGCATGTATACAGGGGCCGGAGGTCAACACTACATTCGAGGTCCTATTTATTATTATTGTATGTATGTGTGAAATTGAATCCAAGTACACATGCCAGAACACACCTGTGGAGGTCAGACAACTTTCAGAACTCAGTTCTCTCCTTCCACCATGGATTCCGGGGACTGAACTCAGGCTTTTGTGGCAAGTGCTTTTATCCGATGAGCCGTCTCACCAGCTCTCTCCACCATGGTTTTTGAGGCAGGGTCTCTCACTAAACCTGTAACTGGCTGATTAAGCCAGACTGGCTGGCCAGTGGGCAGCTAGGGCCATCCTTGCGTAGCCTTTACTCGGGTGCTTCAAGCGCTGTGTACTTTGCACACCTTTAATCCCAGCTCCTGGGATGCAGAGGCGGGTGGATCTCTGTGAGTTCCAAGCCAGCCCTAGCTGCATAGTAAGATCCTGTCTCAGGACAAATAAAATTAGCTCAGTTCCTCCTGCTGACCTGCAGGTGCTCCGCAGACTGAGCCCTCTCCCCTGCCTACTTAGTCTGTCTTTGGAGACAGCTCTCACTCTGTACCCAATCTGTCCTCAAGTTAATAACCTTTGGAGCTAGAGAGAAGGCAGAGATGGCTTAGACCACCTGCCGCTCTTCCAGAGGACCCCGGTTCAGTGCAGCTCATAACCTATCCGTGGTTCCCGTGCCAGGGGATCTGACCTCTTCTTCTAGTCTCTGCAGCTGCCAGCCGTGCACACGTGATCCCTGCAGGCAAAACACCAGGCACATGAAATAGAGAGCATTCTTTCCTCGTTAGTGCCACCACACCCTACAGAATCCCTGGCCCCTTTCTCGCCGCTGCTGATGGTGCTGCCCGTGGACAGCTAGCTGCAGGGCTTGATAGCCTCAGCCACTCGCATAGACTGGGACTGCCAACAGGTGGCCCCCTGCGCCCACCTGCTAACACTCTCCGTAGGCAGAAGGACCTTGCATATCCACTCCCATGAATGACATCCAGGAATAATAGTGTCACATGGCAGACGCCAACCCTGGTGGGGGCAGGGATCCCAGATTCAACAACTGGCCCCTTGAGTGCCCACTGATGCCAGCCCGCCTGCCCCTCACTGTGGAATGGATCATGGAACTGAGTGACAAGACAGGTTGGTTCTCCAGAGTGTCCCCGTTCCCCATGCCCTCCACTTAGCTAACTGGGTCTTCCTGTCTGTCACCCTGCCCTTTGAACCAGGCTCTACGGTTGCCATGGTTGCCATTCTCCTGCCTGAAGTTTTGTTTGTTGAGGATCTCCCGAAGCCCAGGAACTCTGTAGCCAAGGGTGGCTTTGAACTCCTGATCCTCCCACCTCTATATTGCAAGTGTTAGCTTGGCAGGCATCCACCAGCACTCCTGGCGTGTTATTATTATTTGTTTGTGTTGACGTTCCAGCAGTACTAGTATATTTCCTTACAGTATTTTTTTAGTCTATGCTCAGGCATAGAATATGGGGATCCCTCTTACATGTGTCTTGGGTTACACACATGTGTAAGATGTGTAAAGGGGGGGGATGGCTCAGTGGGAAAGTGCTTGCCATGGGAGCCCACAGAACCCACATAAAAGCTGGGCACAGCCTGGCACGCCTGTGGTTCTGGTGTCCTATGACAAATGAGAGATGGAGGCAGGGGAATCCTGGAAGCTTGCAAGGCCCCTAGCCTATAGGCAACTGGCAAAGAGGCCTGTGTCAAACACTTCCGAAGGCAAGGACAAAGCTTGAGTTTGTCCTCGTCCTCAGACCTCCATATTCATAAACATCCATGCTTACGCAAGCACATACTGGCCCCCTCATAAACACACACACGCACGCACACTCACGCACGCACTCACACATGATGTGTAAAGGGTGCCACACACTCAGAACTCTCTAGAGTCACTGATACAGAACGCGCCTGGGACCCCCTGCATGAGGCTGCAAGCCACAGTCCCTACTACAGCTGCCATGCGGCACGGGGGCGGGGGCGGGCGCGGGGGGTGAGGATGGAGGCCCTGCCGCCGACCGCCGCCACGTTTGTGCCCTTGACAGCAGCATGCCATAGGAGCTCACCCCCAGCCTGAATCTAGTCTACTGGATCCCTCAGGAATGATTCGAAAGGGCTGTGGTTTGGCCATGGCATTGAATAGAGTGGAGACATTATGCCAAGACTCACATAGGGTGCTCTGGGTAGGAACCCTTGACCTCTACTGTGACACAGATTGTAGCCCACAGGGACGTCTCTATGCAGAAAAGCCACAGCAGGCGGGGAAGGGCTCACAGCTGCCTTACAAGCCTGTCACTGGCTGCACCGTGGTAATGGGCCTGCGGTGTGGGAGATCAAGTGGAGTCTCCTGTGCCCGAAGCACTGCCTCGTAGCAACTGCTCTGTGGTTGCTGGGCAACAACACTGCGGTCACCTAGCAACAGCTCTGCTGCCTGGCTTTCTGCTTGGGCCACATCTCCCATCTCAGCCCCGCCTGGGCCCCTTATCTGCCACCTCCTCCCTCTAACCCAGGCTTCTTTCCAGCCTTGCGGCGCACCTCCCCCACCAGCTTCTGAGTCATCCCCGTCCAGAGAGGGCTGAGGGAGGGCCCTTCACCCTGGATCTTCACCTCCAACCCAGATGGCACATGTAGCTCCTTTTCACCCCCCCCCTCCCGTACTGAAAGCCCTTTGACACTGCAGCCTCTGAGTGTCCAGCGTCCTGGCCTTTGAGTTCTGAAAGAATCCATTCTCGCTGCTGCTGAGAATCCAGAGGCTCCAGCACAGACTTGCTCTGCCCAGAGGGAACTGAGCAAATGCTGTTCGGAGAAGTTAAGCCAGGATGGGACAAGTGGCTTTGTGACCCTTACCTTCATCTCTTGCTGGTGGCACCCCTTGGGCAGACAAAGGAGTCCTGGTTCCCAGTCTGAAGTAGCCTGATCTTATCCTAGCTTGACATTCAAGAAACTTCAACAGTTTGTGCTTACAGACCAAGAACCCAAACCGCACAGGTTCAGCACTGGTGGGCCTCTGCCTATTCCAGCTCTGTCCCAGGTACTTGCTCCCCTCTGCCAGGAACACTAACAAAAACAAACCTTCATTTCCTCCTTTCCCCACACCAGCAGCAACACTGATAGGTGACTGACGGGTTAGTGAAGGGCTGGGCTTCCAGAGCAGGTGACCTGACTGAATGGCCTGGTCTGCTATGTCATAGGCCAGCAAGCGTTCGGATACCTCTCAGGGTGTTCAGTGTCATTCCAGTGCCATGGCTTGGGGAAGGGTCATGCACGGCGTTGGACCCCAAGCGCTTTGTCATTGTGCAACAGGACCAGAAAGTTCTGAGGGTGTTTGCTAAACTCCCAGGAGCCTGCTCCTGCCTAATTAGGCCCCAACATTACTGACTTAGCTGTTTGCTTGTTCTGTTTTGTTTGGTCTGAAACAGGGTCTTCTGTAGCTCAGGCCGGCCTTGAACTTGCTGTGTGGCAGAAGGTGACTTTGAACTTCTGATCCTCCTCCACCTCCCAAGTGCTGGGATTGCAGCTGTGTGCCACCATAACTGGTTTTATGTGGCGCTGGGGATCAAATCCAGGGCTTCACTGACAAGGGGGAGAGGCTAGACATATCTTCACTGGATTTGCAGATTCCTGGTACCTAATAAAGAAATCCGGGTCTGTGTTGTCTACGCCCAGACCCTTTTTTCTTTTCTATTAAAGTCCTCTGCCTTTAGCAACCAAGAGTTGATAATTGATGAGCAATTGGGCCTATCCCATTGTTCAGCACTGCTGTCTCCCACTGTCTGTTCATGCTCTTTCTAGGGTTCTGTAGATTAGGGTGGGCCTTTGGCCTAATCTATCTTCAAGCTGTCACATCTGGGGTACCTACCCTTGGATGCCAACTCTTTTCCAATCGGGTTCTGGATGTAACATCTGGGTGGCCCTGTGCAAAGCACTGATCTTCCCGTGCTTTGGGTTCCTCGTGTTCTGGAGAGGTGATAGCGCCTGCCTTCAAATCCGAGTCAGAGGTTAAAGGGCAGTACCTTTGGCGGAGTGTGATCAGTTGAGGACAGTCGGGCGCAGTGGCGCACGCCTGTAAACCCAGCACTCTGGGAGGCAGAGGCAGGCCTATTTCTGTGAGTTTGAGGCCAGCCTGGTGTACAAAGTGAGTCTAGGACAGCCAGGGCTGTTCAGAGAAACCCTGTCTCCAAAAATCAAAATAAAATACAGGTGTGGTGGTACAAGCCTTTAGTACCAGCACTTGGGAGGCAGAGGCAGGGAGGGTCTAGGAGTTTGAGAGCAGCGGTCTACAAAGCAAGTTCCAAGCCAGCGAGGTAGTATGACCATGTCTCAAGAGTGAGCCTTTCCCCACCTCCATGTACATACACCCAGGAGGAAGCCAGGTTGAACATGGACATACACACCTAATCCTAGCACTTAGGTGGTCGAGGATAGATATCCTTGGCTACACAGCAAGCTCAAGGTCATCCTGGACTTTGTGAAGCACTGTCTCAAACAAACAATAGCAATGGCAACAAAAGGCTGGCTGGGAGCTGGGGTTAGCTCTGTAGCTCAGTAGTAGAATACTTGCCTAGTACGTGCAGGGTCCTGGGTTCAATCCCCAGCACTGTCACAGAGAGGGAAAAAAAGAGAGGCCAATCCTCGGCCATTCACGTTCACCCTGTGGTTTTCAGTTTCATGCTGAGGTGGTAGATCAGGGAGTCTCTAGCTTCGGCCCAGCTCACCCTCACAAATCCCCCCCCCCCACACTGACCCTCCTTGAAAACCTGTGTTGTTACCAATGAGACAGTAAAAAAAGACCCTCATTCCAAACACTGGTGAAAATCATGTAGGACAACTCAGCCTTAACATACAGTCTTGCCAGGTGCACACACCCTTCATCCCAGCACTCAGGAGGCAGAGGCAGGAAGATCTCTGAGTTTGAGGCCAGTTTGGTCTACAGAGCAAGTTCCAGGACGGCCAGGTTTATACAGTAAGACCCTGTTCTCAAAAACAACAAGGAAAGCTCAGAGTGGATGTAAATGGGTATGTAAAGTCCTCCACATCTGGTGGCCACCGAGGGACAGAAAACACCCAAGGACCTTGTAGAGGGGGAGCGCTTGATGCCTAGTACTCAAGCTCGGTCACTGGAGCCACCCACCCCTCTTGTGGCAGAAATCCCCGGCTTCCTGAGCGACGAGGAGTGTCGGCTTATCATCCACCTGGCGCAGATGAAAGGGTTACAACGAAGCCAGATCCTGCCCACCGAAGAGTACGAGGAGGCAATGAGCACCATGCAAGTCAGCCAACTGGACCTCTTCCAGCTACTGGACCAGAACCATGACGGTCGCCTGCAGCTTCGAGAGGTTAGGCTCCCCAGGTGCAAGGAGGTGCAGGAGGGAACACCTAAAATGATCTTTCTGGTTGCCGTGCCACTGGTCTAGCTTATGCCCTGCAGTCAAATGCTACCCCAGGCTTGCTTGGGCTTGCCTGGGTGCAGAGTCCATCCTCCTTTCTGCCCTAGAGACTCCAGAAATCCCTTTGTGAGGAAGGCGCTTATCACTAGTTTTTTAGCAGTGTACCTTCTGTGGGCTGAGCTGTTTATTATCATGGCAGGGTGATGGCGACCCAGAAGTTCTGAGGTACCCAGCAGCATGCATCTCTCTCTCCCACACCCTTCACATAGGACTCCTGAGAGAAAAGTCTGGCAGGGTGTGGGCCACTTCTCACACTGAGCTTGCTTTTCCTGAGGGTCGTGGCACATGTCCTCCTGGTTCCTGTCCCTCTCTTCAGAACCGGGTCTTTGCCATCCCCTGATGTCACCTGGAGTCTCTGAGGGTGACACAGGCCTGTTCTCATTCTGCCTCCAACCCATCAATGGTACTTCCCCGAAGGCCACAGTGCCAGCAGGTCTGCGGGTGGACGCAGGCCTCAGGCATGTGTGCCTCCTTCACGATGTCACTGGACTTCTGTACAGGGACTTCGGGCTTTCCTCTGTGTCCTCACCTGTGCCCTATCACTGAGGCCTTCAGCTCTACAGCAAGACTCGCACCTTGTCTGTTTTGGTGACTCTGTGCTCCTAAGAGAATCACCGCACTGAAGGACCTTCCTATGCTTTAGGTGCTGGCCCAGACCCGCCTGGGAAATGGACGGTGGATGACCCCAGAGAACATTCAGGAGATGTACTCTGCGATCAAGGCAGACCCCGACGGTGATGGTGAGCACTCCCCCTCCACAGCCCCGTGCTTGGGGGCTGTCTCCTCACGGGAGCATGCTCTGGAGAGCTTGGCCCCTTCCCCTGCTGCAGGCAGCTTCCACACCCAGCTTTGAAAGTGGACGGAGATAGGAGGTGAGGAGGCAGGCGGGCAGCCAGACACCCTCATTCTCCTTGGTGACAGTCTACATGACAGGTCCTGTGGGTCCTCTTGGCTGTATGTGGCAGAGTCTAGGGAACCTAGAGTGACAGCCTGTGGCTGGCTGGCGGGGGCTGCTCTCCTCCTTTAACATGATGCCAGGGCTCACAACCCTCCCCTTTAGTGGAATCTGGACCAAAGGATGGAAGGATGACAGCAATGCCACCCACTCTGCCGAAGCTCTGGATGGGTGCCCTGCTTAGTGGTTTGGGCAGGAACAGAGGAAGCTATTCTCATCTGGGGGGTGGCCAGGATTTTTTTTTCTAGCATGACTGGTATTGTAGGCAAGGACTGGCCAACAGGCTTCCTCCCAGGGCGGGACTTGAGGGAAGCTCTGGGGTCTAGCCCTGCTTTCCCACTACAGTGTGGCAGGCCCTGGAGGAGATTCAGCACAGGCCGTCACCTCTCCTCATCTTCTGTAGGTTGGAGCGTGGCCCACACTGCAGAGCCGAGGGCCCTCTGAGTCATATGTCTCAAGTGTCCTATGGAGACCCTGCTCTGGCTCTCTGGGTTGGGCTTTTTCCTTCTCGGGACCAAATCAAGGCTTAAACAGAAAACAAACTTCTCTGGGTCTTCCCTCAGGGCCCGATGTGACAGAAACCAGGTTCATCTGACCCGAGTCCAGGTGGGGACAAGTGCACATGGCCCCCAGTGCCTGAGGCCAGGGGCTGCTGCTACCTTTGGGGTAGGTAGGGAGGTGCTGCCTGCGCTGCGCTCGCTCCACGTGGGCCCGGCGGGCACTGATGAAGGTGCCCTGCGCAGGAGTGCTGAGCCTGCAGGAGTTTTCCAACATGGACCTTCGAGACTTCCACAAATACATGAGGAGCCAGAAGGCGGAATCCAGTGAGCTGGTGAGGAACAGCCACCACACGTGGCTCCACCAGGGTGAGGGCGCTCATCATGTGATGCGGGCCATCCGCCAGAGGTGAGCTCCTGGGGCCGTTCTTCCTGGGGCAGGGTCTCACTCGAGGCCGTTGGCAGAGCCAAAGGGATGGAACTGATGAGCTAATTTGGGATTACATTTCAGTTGTTAGAACAGGAATGAGACCCAACGGAAAACAGGCGAGCAATGAGAGTGCATTAGACTCCCTGTGAGCAAACAACTGGGATGAGAAATAAGCCAGACATTTATTTTCTGTTAATTAGGAAGATGAGGACTTTTTTCTGCTCAGAGAAGCCCTGGACCTTGAACGGATAGACTTCATAAGCAGGCTGGTGCCTCGTGCCTGGTGGCCTACAGCCGAGGCCTGGAGCTGAGAGTGAAACTTACAAAAGGCTCGGAAAGATGAGGCTAAGGACTTAGCTTGGCCGGCCAGGCGCTTGCCTAGCATGCAGGAAGTGAGGTCTGATCACAGCACCACATAGAGCCAGGCACTGCTGTGCACATCTCCAGCCCCAGAACTGGGGAGGTGGAGGCAGAACTATCAGGAGTTTCAGATTGTCCTAGGCTAGAGTTCCAGGCCAACCCTGACATCAGACCCTATCTAAACAAATAACAGAAAGAAAACAAAAACCTAAAAACTAAAAGCAGAGGTTTTAAAGGAACAGCTTTATTCCAGAGAGAGTCTCAACTCTCATCCTCCTGACTCAATGGCCACCTTGTTTCCCTATTAATTGGATATCTCTGTCTGGCAGCCTGGGATGGAAAGAGTTCCTCACCACCACAGACCCTTTGTTGTTCGCGAGCGTGGGCGTGAGCGTGTGTGTGCGCACACATGCCTGTGTGGTCTTATGTATCCCAGACTCACCCTGAACTCGCAATGGGCCTCCAGCTTCCGAACACTGGGGTTAGGGTACACAGAACATCCAGGTTTTTGGTTCTTGGGTTGAACCCAGAGCCTTGTACACGTCAGGCACACACAGTAAGTTACTTTCCTAGCTTGGCCTCCCTGCTCTTAGAAGCCAACGGCTATGGGACTTCCAGGGGAGGTGAGCGGAGGTCAAGCTGCGGCTGGCCCAGGATCCACCCTGGCCAGTTCCTTTAGGTAGCCATCTTGCTGAATGCCTGCTGCCCGCCAGGGTGCTGCGTCTCACCCGCCTCTCCCCGGAGATTGTGGAGCTCAGTGAGCCACTGCAGGTTGTGCGATACGGCGAGGGAGGCCACTACCACGCCCACGTGGACAGCGGACCTGTGTACCCAGAGACCATCTGCTCCCATACCAAGCTGGTAGCCAATGAGTCTGTACCCTTCGAGACCTCCTGCCGGCAAGTACCTCCCACCCGGGGCTTGGCTTCGACCCCCCCACACACACTGGGCACCTTGCAGATTACGGGGATAGCCTGGTATGGAGCCAAGAATACACTGGGGCCATCCGGGTCAGCCATGCCCCTACTGAAACTTGCCCCGTCAGCCCTGATCTTGACTCCACTGCTGGAGGTCCCGGCCTCAGTTTCTACCGTTGCGCCCTCCTGCCTGCAAAGTCAGGTTTTCAAGTGGCTGTTCTGGCTCAGACTTTGCAGTTGCAAAGACTCCGGGCATGGTATCCCTGCTTCTAGAAGCTTAGCTTTCCCAGCCGGGTCTTTGGTGAAGGTCGCATGCCTTACCTAAGTGCACCTTTGATCGTGGCTCTGCAAGGAGAGTGGGTCTGTGGGGAAAAGGGCTAGGGACGCCTTGGCCACCGTAGCCTGACCTTGTGGGATCCGCTCAGCAGCCCCCCTGCCTTACAGCTACATGACAGTGCTGTTTTATTTGAACAACGTCACCGGTGGGGGCGAGACCGTCTTCCCTGTCGCAGACAACAGGACCTACGATGAAATGGTGAGGGCCAATGGGCTATTGCTCTTGCGGGATGGGCGAGCCTTGGGGGAGTGTACACGCACACAGCCCTCCGGACCGGGGATGCGGGCCCTCCTGTCTGTCTCCCCGCTAGCCAGCTTCGGCTGCCTGGCCACGCAACGGCAGGCACCCCGAAAACACCCTCCCCTGTTGCCCACAGAGCCTGATCCAGGATGATGTCGACCTCCGCGACACTCGAAGGCACTGTGACAAGGGGAACCTCCGGGTCAAGCCGCAGCAAGGAACAGCAGTCTTTTGGTACAACTACCTGCCGGATGGGCAAGGTGAGGGTCATGAACTTCTCTGAGGGAGCTCATCTCTGCCCCCTGGAGGGCTCCACCGTCTTCCTCGGGCTGGGGAGGGCTGTGGCCAGGCTCCGCTAAGGTTGCAGCGTGCTGACCAGGCCTTAGTGAGTGCGATGTCAAGGCCTTCCGCGGGGATTAGGGGTCCGCACACCTCAGGCCGGGCCGACCTAGGGTCCCCCCTAACTTGTGCTCGGCTCACGCCACCTTCCTCCCGTAGGCTGGGTGGGTGAGGTGGACGACTACTCGTTGCACGGGGGCTGCCTGGTCACCAGAGGCACCAAGTGGATCGCCAACAACTGGATCAACGTGGACCCCAGCCGGGCCCGGCAAGCCTTGTTCCAGCAGGAGATGGCTCGTCTGGCCCGGGAAGGGGGCGCCGACTCGCAGCCCGAGTGGGCCATGGACCGGGCCTACAGCGACGCCCGCGTGGAGCTCTGACGCGAGGCCCCGATGCGAGCGAGTCCGCCGACGTCCAGGACCGGGCGGGTTCTCCGTGGTGCAGCAGCCTGAGCTCCGGCCGACCTCCTGCCCTCCCCGCCCCCGCCTGCAGGCGCGATGACAGGCGCAGCTCCTGCACTGGCGTTATTTATTGGTGTACAGCCTCCACGCTGCTCCGTCAAATAAAAGCGCAGGCTTCGAGCCAGGGGCCGCCAGCCGCGAGCCGAGCGCCCGCCCGGGGGAGGGGAGGGGCCTCCCCGCCGGCCCCCGCGTGGGAGGGGCCCGGCCGGGCCAATCACGGGCGGGATCGCGTGGGCCGAGGGTCGTCATTGGCCGTCCGCGGCCGGGCGCCCCGCCCGGCTCCGCTACCTGTAGCTGGGGGCCCGGGAGCTCCGCGCCGCGGCTCTCGGGACGGCTGCTTCTCGCGAGAACGCAGCTCTCTCCCCGCCGCTGGCAGCCGCGGCAGCTTGCCGAACGTCATGGACGCTCTCGGGGACTATGTCTGGCCGCGGGCGACCTCCGAGCTCATACTCCTCCCGGTCACGGGTCTGGAGTGCGTTGGGCACAGGCTGCTGGCGGGTGAGGCTTGGTGGGCTCTGGTCGTGCTGGCGGGCGAAGAACTAGCCGCCCCCCTGGGGTGGTCGCACGGGACAAAGGGACGTCCCAGGGAAGAGGGTGGGCAGTGGCCTGGGGCCTGGCCGTGGGAGAAGGCAGGTTCGGAGCTGGCGGGAACACAGGAGGAGGGCGGGGCTCGAGAGGCAAAACTCTTGTCATAAATTGCGGCCAGCGTGGGAACCGTGGGCAGAGACGCGGGAAGGTGTAGGGGACGCCGTCGTTCTATGTGGGGGGAGGGGCGTGTGCGCCCCTAGACGAACTCGGGTGATCAGGACCCCTGGGGAGGTAGCAGAGAATGGGCAGTCCCAGGGGGCGTGGCCTCGAGAGAGGGTGAAGCCCCGCTCCCAAAGATGAGGGGCCGGTCGCCAAAAAAATTGCACCCGAGACTTCTCTGAGTAGAGTAGTTGTCGGGAGAGGCTGGGGCTCCGAGCCAGCTGGGGCACTATTCACATGCCCCAGTGTCTGGTTGTAAAGGCCTGAGATGGGTCTGAGGTGCCAAGTGTCCTGGAAGCAGCAAGGCCTGATGGGAAGCCACTAGCCATTGGTGATGATGGGCTTAGGTTTTATAAGTGAGAGTTATGCCTTGGGGCAGTCATCATCAGCCCCAACAAGATTGTGCGTCTGTCCGTGTATTAGCTAGAGTTGATAAGGGGGTGGTGGTGCAAATACTGGGTTGCTCCAGCAAGCTAAACTCCCTGGAGGTGAGACCAGCTGAAGGAAATAAAGTGGGTAGGATTTGAAGAGAGAGAAGACACAGAAGATTAAGAGAGTAATTTTGAGGCCTCTGGGTTTGCGCTGGGAGATGGGCAGAGGCTGGTAATGTTTACTGGGATGAGAAGCATGGAAATGATGGGGAAGCTGGGAATCCAGTTCTGGAAAGGCCTGGGTTGCCCTGTGTCTAAGGAGTGTAAAGAGACTGCAGGCAGGCGGACTACAGCCAGGCAGGCCACTCTGAGCACAAGCTGGGAGTTGGGTAACACAGTTTTAGTTTTAGTTTTGTTTCTGCTGTGTTAAACCCTGTCTAGGGTCTGGATACCTGGACCTCACCTCTACCTTCCAAGGCTTCTCTTCTCATACAAGGGATGAGGTTCACGGCTGTCCAATGGTGGGTCCGGAAGCCTAGCCCCCTGCCTGCAAAGCGTGGGCTGCTCCTGCCCCCGCCCCATTGCCTCTGAATATGCACAGGGATTAGACTGAGGGAGGGATTCTGATTATGGGCCAAATGGTGGAAAGGTTGACACAGCCTTTTCCCTGAGGGAGGGAGAATCAGGAAGGATGCATATAAGCAGTGAGGCTGAGAATTTGGGGACTAGAGCAGAGGAAGGGCTTCCCATCTGACGTGTAAGAATGATGTGGACCAGGGGTATCCTAGTGAATATGCATGAAGGGTGAGCCAGGCAGGTTGGCACACTGCTATAAGCCCAGGCATTGGCTGAGGCGAGAGAATTTTGAATTCAAGGCCAACCTGGGCTGTGTGGGAGAACCTTACCCCAGAAACTAGTGACTGAGGGGAACATACACTTGTAACAGAAATCTAGCTGAAGCTGGGGCAAGAATTTAGTAGGATTTTGTGTCCCGACTTACTCTTAACCTGTACGCTAAGATGCAGTCTGCTCTCCTTGCTTCGTGTCACACTTAGGTGACTGCTTCTGACGTGGTTCTTTACCTCTGTCTAGGTGAGGGGCCTGATTTGCTGGTGTACAACTTGGACTTCGGTGGGCATCTGCGGATGATGAAGCGAGTGCAGAGCCTGCTTGGTCACTATCTTATCCATGGGTTCCGAGTGCGGCCAGAGCCCAAAGGAGACCATGCCTCTGAGGCCATGATAGCTGTGTTTGGGAGCAAGGGACTCAGAATTGTGAAAGTTAGCTGGGATCAAAGCCATCTTCGAGAGCTCTGGCGCTCTGGCCTATGGAACATGTCCGACTGGATCTGGGATGTGCGCTGGCTTGAGGGCAATGTAGCCTTGGCCTTGGGCCACAACTCGGTGGTGTTGTATGACCCCGTGATAGGGTGCAGGCTGCAGGACGTGCCCTGCACAGACAGGTGCACCCTCTCCTCAGCCTGCCTGATCGGAGACACCTGGAAGGAACTGACCATAGTGGCAGGTGCGGTTTCCAACCAGCTCCTGGTCTGGTACCCAGCGACTGCTTTAACAGACAACAAAGCTGTGGCCCCTGACCGGCGGGTTAGTGGACATGTGGGCGTCATCTTCAGCATGTCATACCTGGAAAGCAAGGGCCTGCTGGCAACTGCTTCAGAAGATCGAAGTGTCCGTATCTGGAAGGTGGGCGACCTCCGGGTGCCTGGGGGGCGTGTGCAGAATATTGGTCACTGCTTTGGACACAGTGCCCGGGTGTGGCAGGTGAAGCTCCTAGAGAACTATCTGATCAGTGCAGGAGAGGACTGTGTCTGCTTGGTGTGGAGCCACGAGGGCGAGATCCTTCAAGCCTTTCGGGGCCACCAGGGCCGCGGGATCCGGGCCATCGCTACTCAGGAGAGGCAGGCCTGGGTCATCACTGGCGGTGATGACTCGGGCATTCGGCTCTGGCACCTGGTAGGCCGTGGGTACCCAGGCTTGGGCGTCTCAGCTCTGTGCTTCAAGTCCCCCAGCCGGCCAGGTGCCCTCAAGGCTGTGACTCTGGCTGGTTCTTGGAGAGTACTGGCAGTGACTGATGCAGGAGGCCTGTACCTCTACGACCTTGAGGTCAAGTGCTGGGAGCAGCTGCTGGAGGACAAGCGCTTTCAGTCTTACTGCCTGCTGGAGGCGGCCCCTGGGCCCGAGGGCTTTGGACTCTGTGCCTTAGCTAATGGGGAGGGTCTTGTCAAGGTTGTTCCCATCAACACTCCCACTGCTGCTGTGGACCAGAACCTGTTCAGTGGGAAGGTGCATAGCCTGAGCTGGGCCCTTCGTGGGTATGAGGAGCTTCTGTTGTTGGTGTCAGGCCCTGATGGGGTAGTGGCTTGCTTGGAGATCTCAGCTGCACCCACTGGCAAGGCTATATTTGTCAAGGAACGTTGCCGGTACCTGCTTCCCCCAAGCAAGCAGAGATGGCACACATGTAGTGCCTTCCTGCCCCCAGGTGACTTCCTGGTCTGTGGGGACCGCCGTGGCTCTGTGCTGCTGTTCCCTGCCAGACCAAACCTGTTCAAAGATCCTGGGGTTGGAGTCAAGGCTATCACTGGAGCGGAGGCTCCTGGAGCTGGTGGTGGCAGCGGTGGGTCTGAGAATGTTGCAGCAGGATTAGGCCCAGTATCTATCCTCTATTCTCTTCATGGGAAACAGGGTGTGACCTCAGTGACCTGCCACAGTGGCTATGTATACAGCACAGGGCGTGATGGCACCTACTACCAGCTCATTGTACATGGTGGCCAGCTCCAACCAGTCCTAAGGCAGAAGTCCTGCCGAGGCATGAACTGGGTAGCCGGGCTTCGAATGGTGCCTGATGGAAGTATGGTCATCTTGGGTTTCCATGCCAACGAATTCGTAGTGTGGAGCCCCCGGTCCCATGAGAAGCTGCATATCGTCAGCTGTGGTGGAGGGCACCGCTCTTGGGCCTTTTCTGATACCGAGGCAGCTATGGCCTTTGCCTACCTCAAGGATGGTGACGTCATGCTCTACCGGGCTCTAGGTGGCTGCACTCGGCCAAACGTGATTCTCCGAGAGGGTCTGCATGGCCGAGAGATCACATGTGTAAAGCGTGTGGGCACTGTAACCCTGGGTCCTGAGTTTGAGGTACCCAGCGTGGAGTATCCTGACTACCCGGAGCCTGGCAGTGAGGGCCCCGCTCTGATTGACATTGTGATGACATGCAGTGAGGACACCACTGTCTGTGTGCTAGCACTTCCCACAGCCACGGGCTCGGCCCACGCACTCACATCTGTTTGCAACCACATCTCTTCGGTGCGTGCTCTGGCCGTGTGGGCTGCCGGCACCCCGGGTGGCCCACAGGACCCTCAGCCGGGCCTCACTGCTCAGGTGGTGTCTGCGGGGGGTCGAGCTGAGATGCACTGCTTCAGCATCATGGTCATTCCTGACCCCAGCACCCCAAGCCGCCTAGCCTGTCACGTCATGCACCTGTCATCCCATCGGCTAGATGAGTACTGGGATCGGCAGCGCAACCGCCATCGCATGGTCAAGGTGGACCCTGAGACCAGGTAGCATGCACTCAATGCCATGGGTGTGGAGTGGGTCGGCGGGCGGCTCCTGGCTGCCGGCTCCCGGCTGCAGGCTCGCTGACAGCTGTGCTCTCCCTCCAGGTACATGTCTCTTGCTGTCTGTGAGCTTGACTCAGATAAGCCTGGCCTGGGCCCCCTTGTGGCTGCAGCCTGTAGTGATGGAGCCGTGAGGTGAGCACACAGGGCCAGTGCATGAGGAGACAAAGGGGCCGAGCTCAATAGGATGGGTTCTGAGATGCCTCCCCGCCCCCAGGCTCTTTCTCTTGCAGGACTCTGGGCGAATTCTGCATCTCCTTGCAGAGACTTTCCACCATAAGCGGTGTGTCCTCAAAGTCCATTCCTTCACGCATGAGGTGCCTAACCAGCGTCGGTGAGGCAGGCAGCCCTGTGTGGGTGGGGTAAGGGCTCCTGTTGTCTTCCTACGTCTTTCACTGATCTGGCTGCTCTGCCCTCTCCTGGCTTCCAGGAGGCAGATCCTGTGCAGTGCCGCTACCGACGGCAGCCTGGCCTTCTGGGATCTCACCACTGCAATGGACGGTGGCTCCACCACCCTGGAACTGCCAGCACACCCTGGACTCCCCTACCGTAAGTACCGTGACACCCCTTGCCACCACTCACAAGGTGAAAGCACAAGCCTAATGGCCACTCTCTTCCTGCAGAGCTGGGTACGCCCTGCTTGACCGTCCAGGCCCACAGCTGTGGCGTCAACAGCCTGCACACCTTGCCTACACCCGAGGGCCACCATCTTGTGGCCAGTGGCAGTGAGGATGGGTCCCTGCACATCTTCACGCTTTCTGTGAAGATGCCAGAGCTGGACGCAGCGGATGGGGAGGCTGAGCTGGTGCCCCAGCTGCATGTCCTAGAGGAATATTCTGTCCCCTGTGCACATGCTGCCCACGTGACAGGCCTCAAGATCCTAAGTCCCAGCCTCATGGTCTCAGCCTCCATAGACCAGCGGCTGACCTTCTGGCGTCTGGGGCACGGTGAGCCCACCTTCATGAACAGCACTGTGTTCCATGTGCCAGATGTGGCTGACATGGACTGCTGGCCTGTGAGCCCCGAGTTTGGTCACCGCTGTGCTCTTGGGGGTCAGGGACTCGAGGTTTACAACTGGTACGACTGAGTTATCTCACAGTCGTTGGAGACCTGAGCCTGGGCCTGCCTGTAGACAGTGGAGTGGGCATCAGCCATCTGTGCTCATGCTCACTGTGCTTTGAGATGAGGCCATGCCATAGCTTCCTGACTTGAAGTACTCCAGTGGGTGCCACATAGGTGGACCAAGAATATGTCTCACTCTCTACAACAGGATGAAATTGTATTTATTTTGGCTTTCAGCGCCCAACATCTATGAGGTTCTGTTTTTTCCCCAGTCGATTTTGTAAACATTCCTTGCTGTTGGGCCTTAGATGTAGCTCAGCGGAGGGAGGCCCAGCATAGCCAAGCCTGTGTGGAACACCTCGCGTACTGCCCTCAGAAGCTGTAGGCGGGCAAACATCTGACCAAAGAGGTGGGGCCGAGCTTCCTGGAAGGAGAGGAACCAGGCTCGTCCTCTTGTTTCCCTCGTCTTTACCCTGTGTGCCCAACATTTCCCGCAGAAACCCTTTTGCTGTATGCTCACCCCGAGAATGTGTACTCGGTTGTAGTATGAGCTGAAGTCCATGCTCAGCTGCACCAGGAACCTGCACACCTGGAGAGAGAGATGGAGTCATTGAGCTGCTATCTTTGTTCTTGTGTTATGACCACAGTAAAGAATAGTGCGTGTAGCGTCTTCCGTGCCTCACCATCTCCGTGCGAACAGGGATGTGGAGCCCTGGGGTGCTGGCCAGGCTCACAGTCTGGCTTAGCAGATCCGGAAAGGGAAGGACACTGTTGAAAAGCAGCAGCCACTCGCCCTGTAGGAGACAAGGGTGCTGGGAAGCACCTGAGCCTCAGAAGCCTGAGCCTCTGCCTGTGGCTGTTGCTCAGGAGCAACACTCACCTCATCACGCAGCAGTGAGAAATCCAGACTGCTCACAGGCGGAAAGGCCGGGTACAGACCTTGTTCCACTCCATGTTTGTAACCCTCGAAGAGTGTGGCAAGGCGGGCACAGTTATACATGACAAAAGTGCCACTCTTTGTACCCTTCGTGGAGATGGTGCTGTCAGCCAGGAGGAGCTGGAGAATGGGAACAGAGCTGCAGGGGCGTTGGCACCAGGCCTTCCCTCCTCAGTCTTAGTACCGTGAGTGACCCAGGCTTACTTGGCTCTGCGGAGCAGTGCTTAGCATCTCAAATTTGATGGTGGCCACACAGAGGACATCAAAGGTCTTGATCCAAGCTGGGTCTGGGGGTGAGAAATGGAGGCTGGTCAGTGTCTGCAGACAAGGAACAAGGGGTAGAGATATGTGACCTGCTCCGACTTGAGGGCTCTAGGTATACCTTGTGCCAGATCCTCACCATGCTTCAGTGATGAGGCCTTGCACACCTGAGCATGTCTGAGCCTGGAAAAACAAGCCAGTGAGAAGGTCTCCGGGAAAGCCCTAACCCACACCTCTGCTACTCCTAGTTTTGGTTGGTCTTCCTGACCAGCCTCACTCACTTGTAGTAGTCCGGGGCCGTCATCAGGGTGGCAGGTACACCAGCCACTTTCACTGGACCACAGACCAGGTGCTTCTGTGAAAGACAGCAAGGGCTCAGCCCAGTGACACTACCTTCCAGTGTCCAAGGAACCTACACTGCTTGCTTCTACTTTCTAAAAGATTTATTTACTTATTTTTATGTATACGAGCGATCTACCTGTATGTACACCTGCAGGCCAGAAGAGGGCATCAGATCCCATTATAGATGGTTGTGAGCCACCATGTGGTTGCTGAGAACTGAACTCAGAAGCTCTGGAAGCACAGACAGTGCTCTTAACTGTTGAGCCATCTCTCCAGCCCAGTTGCTTCTATCTTGATTGTCCCAATCTGTAACCACCAGCCTTAGCACCTCCTCAAGCCTAGGCCCTCCAGACATGGTCCAACCTTTCCTTAAGACTCCACCATCACGAGGCCTCTGCCCTTCTGCACAGGCCCCTAAGATGGTGTTAGTTTCTCAACCCATGGTCTAACAGGCCTTCGGGTGTCAAGGGTCGTCTGAGGTTGGAGGTGGTTTAACCTTCGGTAACAAACCTGCTCATGAGGAGCCTGGTCATCCAACTTCTGCCAAAGCAGGTCCAACTTTTGTTGTTGAAATGCCTCCTCACAGCTCACCACGTGTACAACCATACAGCCGTCTACACCAGCATCTGAATCTCCAACCTGAGTAGAGACGGTTAGTTATGTCAAAGATAAAACCAGTTTGGGCAGAGGGCAAGACTGGGGCCACTAACCAGGCCTGGGTGGCCACCCTCTGGCCAATGGCGCACAGTCTCCTGCAGCTCAGACAGCACAGCGAGCAGATCCTCAGTCACTACAGAAAACAGAGAGGAGCTGAAAGTGCTCCGCAGGGCAGAGATCCCTCACCCCCGTTCTGGCTTTCGTCCTACCGTCCTACCCAAACAGTCGTCTATGCTGGGGTCATAGCCCAATGCAAGTCTCTGTTCTACCAGTTCCTTCAGACACAGTCGGCCTAGGACGCCAGGGGGCAGTGTTTCCTCCTTCGAGTTGAGTTCTGCCAGCACACAGGTTCTCAGTGTTTCGGTGGAGGTGCTCCTCGAGGCAGTGGGCCAGTCCACCTGAAGTTTCTGCAGGAAAGTTGACATGTGCGAGTCCCGCACCGGGGGCACTAGGCACACACATACCCTGCAAAGCAAGGGCGGCTGTGTCAGCCTGCGAAGCAGGCCCAGATCACCATGACTTCCCCAACTTTTGTGTGTGTCCTCAAAGATTCAGCCTTTTGCCACTACAGACGCGAACACGCGCTTACCCGCGAGCACGTAGGGTCCGCGCTAGGTGATCGGCCACGAGCACAGCACGCAGCAGGCTCAGGCGGAGTGTGTCCGGGTTGCAGCGCAGTGCTGGGCAGTGTAGGACGACTCTCCGGCCTGGCGAGGCGGGCTTGACGGGAGCAGCGTAGGCGGCCAGAGCACCGAGCACACGCTCGAAGACTGCGGGCCGCTGGAGCTGCAGCGATAAGCCCGCGGGTGTCGGCGCGCAGCGCAGGACAGGGGCCACTCCCGGCCCCTGCAGGCCGGCGACCGCACGGAGCACGTACTCCGGCACCTACAGGCAGGAGCGCGTGTCAGTGAACCGAGTCCCGTGCAGCCGGCTAAATAGCCCCGTCCGGCGCGCACCCACCTGACCATCCCTGAAGCGCGCCTGCAGCGCCCTGCGCGGTGCCAAGAAGTCTCGGACACGCAGGTGCCGGGCATGCGTCTCCTTGAACCACACCGGGTTACCAGGCCCTACAGCTGCGTTGAGGGCCTCCAGCGTCTCCCCAACCCCAAGGCGCTCTGTCGCCATGGTGACCGGAAGAGTAAGCGGAACAGGAAGTAAACTATCGGTAGAGCTTCCGGGAGGTCTGCCTGGCAGGGGCGGAGATCCGGCTGTGGACCTTTCTGACTGGACCAGGGCGCACCAGCGTGCAGAGGGAGCCTGCATTCAACCCACGCCTCCCGTTCCCTCCCAACGACCTTTCCTGTATTCGTGAGCTCTAGACCCAAAATCTGAGGCTCCCAACCGCCTAGGGTATTTTCATCGTCACCCTGAATTATTAATTTGGTAACATCTTTGTCACCCGGCAAAACAATTTGTCATCAGAGTTTTAAATATTTGTGCTTATGGGTTTTTTTTGTTTTTGTTTTTTGTTTTTTTGCCTCATTTAAACAAAATGTCAGACGCTCCAGACGAATTGTTAATGGAATAAGGCTGTACTATTAAAGACACGTTGTTTTGTTTCGCTTTTTGAGACAGGGTTTTTCTGTGTAGCCCTGGAACTCACTTTGTAGATCAGGCTGGGCTTGGTCAAAGATCCACCCGCATGCTGGAATTAAAGTCGTGCACCACCAAGCCTTTCTTTCATTAAAGACGCTTTACCACATACTTAAAAACTAAACAAACAAAGCTTGAGTTTTATTTGCATGCCTTTCCTCGTTTGCTGTATGGAATGTCTTTATTCTCAGTAACAGCCCAGTCGGATAGAATCGGCCATCCTGATACCTGAGGAATTATGGAGTCACCGTAATTTCTAGAATCGCTACTAGCCTTTGATGTTTTTCCTTTAAACTGGTGTTACCGGCACCTTTGAGTCTTCTTTAGGCCACACTGGCCAGCTTGAGACATTCATGACAAGACCCAAGCAAGCCGGATCTCCGGTGGAGCATAGCATAGGAAAGCTTTCCTTTCAGCGTTACTTAAGTCTCCTCCACTTCCCCCAGTAATGAATGAATCCAACCGGTGAACTTTGCTCTGGAGAGGAGTGAACTCTAGGGCTAGAAAAAGGAGTTGGCGAGGCTCCTCTCTCTGGGCCTGGGCTGAGGGCCTGCTTGGGAGGTGCCGAAAGAGCACTGGACGGACACGACATTCCCGATGGCTTCTTGGGTGCCCACTCAACGGGAGTGATCGTGTCATTCCAAAGCACTTTCCATGCCGTGGGTACAGCTGCTGGCAGGGCTGGGACCCACAGGCAGGTTGGTGATTTCAGCTACTCTCCCTCCATGAAGACGGTTGGGGTGGTTTTTCCCCAGGAAGTGAAGAGCTATCTTTAGCGAGCTGCGGGCTGGGAGGCCCTGTGGGACTCACCGCCATTGTGGCCCTACAGAGAGGACCCAGGGCCTCCCTCTTCAGAGTTCTTCAGGGATTCCAGAAAGGGCCATCAGCCCGAGCTCTTTGCCCTTTTCGCCGTCTCTGCCTGCCATCATCAGCCCGAGGGTGCACCTGAGAGATGGAGATCAGAATGGCCCAGCAGCGGTTCTGAGGACAGGGACCACCTCATCTGGGCCAGGGCGCTGCTCGGGCAGGAGAGCAGGGAACGAAATCCAAGCGCAGCTGGAATGCACTGGGGACAACAGCTGCTTTTGGGATTCCGTTGCCCGCTGTCCAGCCGTTGGAGGGCTCCTGCTCCTCAGGTCACTCGCCCCGGGGCCAAACCGGAACCCGCCCTTTTTTTCCCAGTGGGCTGACAAGGAGTAGGTGTTGTAATCCAGTCTAGTGAGAAGGAGGCGCTCACCTGGGCCCCGGAACAATAGAAGGTGGGGGCCTCCCCGGGGACCAGGTCCCGATCCGGATTAGATCAGAAGGGCAGGATTAGTCCTGTGAGTCCCAAGCAGCAGGAGCCACTGGTACGGTGACGGGGCGGGCTTTGGAATCCGCCAAGAGGGAAGCGATCCCGTGGGACCCAAGAGGAAGTAAAACCATGCGTCCACTTCTGCGACACCCCAAAGCTCGGGGCCCTTTGTCCGGTGACGCTGCCAGCTCAAGAAGTGACAAGGGCCAAAGTGGCCCACGTAGCAGCGGCAGGACAGCCTCCCCCAAACCCACTGGAACCCGGCCCTTGCAAGCACCCCGCAGCCAGGCCCCAATGGTGCCGAGCATCCCACCCGTCTAGTCCAGCAGATAGAGAACGCGACAAAGTTCCCCTGAGCCTAGGACAGAACCGGTGCGCAGAGATGTCCCAGCCGCGCGGCGCCAGCGACTCCCGGGCCAGTAGGCCCTAGACACCGCTCAGGACAGGGGGACGGAGACAGGGGGATGCAGAGCGCGCGAGGACAGGGTGGTGCTCCAGGAGCTGTCTACTTCACGTCTCGTCCGGTCCGGCCCAGTCAGTCCCACCCGAGCAGCTCCACCAGTACTGCCACGGCGTACCCTTCCGCTGGCTCTAGCCGGCCGCAGACTTGGAGCCATTTTAAGGAGAAACCATCTGGCCACACCCCCTCGCGCTCCCGGGAAGCCAATCCGCGCTCGGCCACGCCTCTCCTGGAGCGCCGCGCTGCCGCCAACGGTCGTGCTGCGGACGGTTAGGGAGGGCAGCGGGTTCCAGGCTAGCCAGGGAAACCTTAGCCACCCGCCCCGCCCACGGAGCTCGGCTCCCAAAGCCCGGGATTAGGGCCTGGCGGCTGGCGCCACACCCTGGCCAGGTGTTCATAACAGGACCAGGTGCGCAGCTGCCCCGCCCCGGCCCCTGGGAGCCCTGGATAACGGCTGAGAACCCGGAGAACAGGCCGCGGCTGTGGCCTAAACAATACCCTGCGGGCGCCCCTGCCGGCAGGTGCTTCGCGCCCCCACTCCTTAGGGACAGGCGGCGGAGGCCTGGGGCGGGGTGGGCAACAGGTGCTGACGCGAGAACCGCACGGTGGGACTGAGACAGATGGCTGTGCCCACTGCGCCGCCCAGGTTGCGCGGTGCCCTCCGGGACGCAGGGCGGCGCTGTGGCCGCCTCGAGACAGCGCGCTCTGCGAGCCCGGCGCCCTTGCGGCCGGGTCACTGCGCGCCTTTGCAGCCATGGCCGCCGCTCTTGGATTTCGCTCCCTGTGCCGCGCACGACCTGCGCCGCTCTGCCGGCACGTCGATCGGCTGTGGTGAGCCCCCACGCCCTACCCCGCCTCTCACCACATGCCACCAGACCTTTAAAGCCCGCAGAGTAGTGCCGCCTGGCTTCGAGCCCCTGACTTTAGCCCTCCGCAGGATGACCCCTCGTCGGGGGCACCGTCTCTCCCCGGCGGATGACGAGTTGTACCAGCGGACACGCATCTCTCTGCTGCAAAACGAGAACCCATTGCCCGTATACATCGACAGCTACAGTAGCAGAGGGTTCACAGTCAACGGAAACCGTGTGTTAGGCCCGTGCGCGCTGCTCCCACAGACGGTGGTCCAGTGGAACGTGAGCCCTGCCCTGCCTTGCCCTGCTGTGAAATTGAAGCCTAGAGCCAAAAGCCACTTCTTCCTAGCAAAATTAGCTTCATTTTGTTGCCTATTTAGTGTCGCTGTGGGTAAAGGCTGTGTAGATTTGACGTGTTGAACGGCCTCTGCTCCCATACAGGTGGGATCTCATCAGGACATCACTGAAGAGAGCTTCTCCCTTTTCTGGATGCTGGAGCCGAGGATAGGTAGGGTGGGGGTAGCACTGGGTCCTAAGTGGCCACCTACCTCAGACCCTCAACACTTGCCCTCCCCACCTTTCCTAGAGATTGTTGTAGTGGGCACTGGAAACAAGACTGAGAGGCTGAATTCCCAAGTACTACAGGCCATGAGACAGCGGGGCATCGCCGTGGAGGTGCAGGACACGGTAGGTCTTTGGACATGGAAACACTAGGCAGTTCAGGCTGCAGCCCCAGCATGCTAATTCTAATGTTTTCATTGCAGCCCAATGCTTGTGCCACCTTCAACTTCCTGTGTCATGAAGGTCGAGTGACAGGAGCTGCCCTCATCCCCCCTCCTGGAGAGACGATGCTCACCTCCTTATCTCAAGCTGCACAATGAACCACCAGGAACCGTCCAGGAGGGCACAGGCACACTGCAGAGTGCAGGGGTTCCCAGTGCCTCCCCACCCTCCGCCTTTTGGTACTTTGAACACTTATCCATGATAATTTATCCTCCTAGATACAAACATTGTGTGGCTGCTGACAGGGTGGGATGGAAATTCAGTGGGGAGACCCTGGTCACTTAAAGTCCAGGAAGCAGTGCTCACAATCTACTTAGCACAAATGTAGATTTGAGGACACCCCGACAGCTCTCGTGATTGAAGTGTGTTCATCTCGTGTCCCAAGGCTCTGCTGGAGAATGAGGGGACTATATTTTGTGAACATTTGTGATGGTGGTGACTGCAAAGTTACACGTGCCCATTTAACTCAAACCAGTTGTCATTTTTTCCCCCAAACTTTTATTGAAAAATTCAAGGCATATAACTGGATCTGTTTTCAGAAAAGCCGCTTCTCGTACCTGTGGGCAGAGACCATCTGTGAGTTGAGGGCAGGAAGGCACTGTGAGGCTGGCAGAAGCCCTACCCAAACATAGGCTACTTACGAATGCAGGCCGTGGACACCACCTTCCACCTGAGCAGAGGATGTTCTCTTCTCAAACTTAAGTTCCCCCGAATACATCATGGCTCTGATGAGAAGCAGATATTAGACGCAGATAGTAGCTGCCTTTGTTCCCCTCCCTCTATTCATGTCCCAGCTACCCAAGCTCACCGGACTTGGGTGAGACTCTTGGCACCAATGTCCTGACAGGAATGCTGGATGCCAGCAATCAAGTAAGGGACGAATTTGTGGATAGACCCTTTGTCCTGCACAGCCCCCGAAACTCCTTGGGCCACTTTGATCTTATCAGCTTCACTGTTGGAAGAGGCAAAGAAATGGGCAAAGTTGCCACGGGGGATGAGACCAAATGCAGGATTTAGTGGGGTGACTTGTCTGCCTTTCCTACCTGAAATAGCGGTTCTGGCTGCTGAGATGCTTATCCATGGCATCAAGAGAACCCATTCCACGATACTTCTTTAGCCGGATCCCGTCTGAGAAGAAGTACTCACCAGGGGCCTCAGTGGTGGCAGCCAAGAGGGAGCCCATCATGACTGTGGGCAGAGAAGGGAGCTGGGGCAGAATCTGAAGGGCAGGAAAGGGGCCCCCACCAAGCACTAAGGTTGCTACGCCTTACCTGTAGACGCCCCAAGAGCCAACGCTTTGGCAATATGACCCACATTTTGGATTCCTCCATCAGCAATAACAGGCACACCAAAGCGTCGCGCATACTCAGAAACCTTGTACACTGCTGTTGCTTGGGGCCGCCCACAGGCCAGCACTGTTCAGAGATGGAGAAACAGATGGGTGTGATTACTGGGTAGGGGGATGCAGGGGCACTCACAGGACCCAGGAGCTCTGAAAGACACCTGTAAGACAGTGGCCAATGAAGAAATATGTCTGGGATAGCTGCTACCAGACAAACTGCTGTGCTGGCTTCACCTCTGCCTGTGTAAATGCGTGTGTGCAGGGCCCAGAGCAGCCTCAGGCACATGCAGTTTATAGCAGCCGGAAGCCCCGCCCAGCTGGTATCAGATGGGGCAAGAGGCACCGTGCAGTTAGTATCCAGAGGTATCAAGTCAGGCCTAGCCCTTCCTGAACAGTGGGCAGCTCAGGCAACATCAGGGCAATGGTAAGGTAGAAGAGACAGCAGGCTCAAACACTGGTCATTGAGCCATGCCTACAGCAGAATATGTGGGCAGAGCAGGGCCTGCCTTAGGAAGGAGGTCCTGCTCTGTGAGCACCCTAGAAGGAGCTGTGATCTCAAGCAGCCCCCAAACCATGGTCTGTACATGTCTGACCGGCCCACCCAACAGCACCACAAACCCTGGGAACTACAGCTACAGTCAACCAAGCAGCCGGGCAGTGGGCAGCTGGGCCGGGCCAGTGGGCCGGGCCAGACTTACTATAGCAGCCCGTGACAGTAGAAGGGCATTTGGGGCTGTGGGACTTTATGTCTGGTGGGATCTTGGGAGCCGCTAAATAAAACAAACAGACCAGAGTTTAGAGAGGGCACAGAGCAGGAGCAAGGAGGCCAGGCTAGGCAAAGTGGCAAGTGAGGGGTGACAAGAACTTGTCTTGCTTCCAGCCATGTCACCCATCCAAGAGGCCTGTCTGGCCCTAGAGTTGCCCATATTGGAGGACTGGAGAGTGCTCCCTTAGAGCCGACAGCCCTAATGGTAGCATCTTCCTACCTTCCTGGGTGATGCAGATGGAGCCGCTTCCCATGCCGACCCGCAGAGCGTCCACACCTGCGTCTATGAGGTTCTTGGCTTGTGCAGCAGTGACTACTGCAGTGAAACGGGGAGGGTTAGGAGGGTGCAGGCGGCAGGAGCACAGCCTCTCCCTCCCCACCAGGGCTGTTTGCCTTACCATTGCCTCCAATGACTTGGAGATTGGGGTATTTCTCCTTGATGTATTTGATCATGTTGATCTGGAAAATGGAGTTTCCCTGGGAAGAGTCCTAGGACAGGGAGGAAGCTGTAGCTGTACCAGGACACGGCATTCACCGTACGTCACCCTGCTTATGCGTAGCTTACCAACACAACGACGTCCACACCAGAGAGGGCCAGTAAGTCCAGCCTGTACTTGTCATCCTCGTGAGTGCCAATGGCTGCCCCACACAGCAGCTGCTTTTTGGCATCTTTGGAAGCCAGTGGGTAGTCCCGATTCTTCTTCAGGTCTGTCCGGGCAATGATGGCTACCAGCTCATCATTTTCATTCACGATGGGCAACTTTCCTGAAGACAGAGCAGGACATGAATCAGGAACCTGAAGAGCACTTCTGGGCCCCTTCCCACTGTCAGGACTCACCCTTTTTACTGCGCTGTAGAATTTCATTTGCCTCCTTTAGAGTGATGCCTGCAGGAGCTACCACCAAATCTTCCCTCTTTGTCATGATCTAGGAATCATGAAAAAAGACCAGTCAGACCAGGACCCTCCCTTTCCCACAGGACATACTATACTATCAAAAGCCCCCACGCTGAGAGACCAGAATCACTATTCTGACAGGCACTCAGTACTCCCATCACTGGAAACTCGAGTAAAAACAAGGTATAAGGAGCAGCCTCTCATAGAAAAAGAAGGATCACACAAGAGCAAAGAGAACCAGAAAGGCCTCAAGAACGAGCCTCCACTTTTACCATCGGGAAAAATGCAGCAAGAATACTCGAAGACACTTTGTCATTAGAGCCCCCACAGGGAGAAGGGGTGCAGAAATCTCAGGAAGTAGTAAGAAACATGGCTGGCATTTTTCTTGGACAGAAAATGAGGTCATCAGTATTGTCAAACAGGTAAAAGAAACTGCCTTTTTTCAACTTGTTTTTTTTTAATTTTGCCTTTTCAAGTTTTTTTATATACCTTTTTTGTATTAAAAAGAATATTTATTATACAGTATTCTGCCTGCATGCCAGAACTCAGTATAGAGTGTTGTGAGCCACCGTGTGGGTGCTGGGACTTGAACCCAGGACCTTTGGATGAACGGTCAATGTTCTTAGCCTCTGAGTCATCTCTGCAGCCCCATCAGCCTGAGTTTTTGTTGTTGTTTTTGTGACAGGGTTTCTTTGTGTAGTCCTGGCTGTCCTGTACTTGCTTTATGGACCAGGCTGGCCTCTAACTCACAGATGGGATTACAGACATGCTCCACCCTGCCCAGCAGCCTGAGTTCTAAGACGTTGGTTTTTCTCAGCCAGTGTCACCTACCTCTTCCAAGAAACGGTCATGCTCTTCCTCCTTAAGGAAATCAATGTCCCTTGAGGAGATGATGCCCACCAGCCGACTCCCCATCCGGCCTGTATCTGTGATGGGGATACCACAGAAGCCATGCCTGGCTTTGGCTTCAAAGACGTCACGCACACGATCCTTGGGGCTAAGGACCACAGGGTCAGTGATGAACCCTTGCTCATATTTCTGGAAGAGATGGTGAGAAGATCAATGCATCTTTGAACTCACTTTCATCTGGCTCCTGGTGCATGCCTAACTGTCTTGTATGGCAGTGGGACAACCAAATCAACCCCTCTAACAAAGACAGATGTGCTAGAAGCATTGTGCACTAGCTTAAGACACGGGCTTTCTCCTCAGCCACTGGACCTCACAGCAGAAGAAAGGAAGCTTAGTTTGCAGAACAAACCCGCTACTCCGACCCCATCCCACCCCAATGTAATTCCAGGAACTTCTGGCCACCATTCTTGCCCTTCTGACCTTCACTTTGCGAACTTCATTGGCCTGAAACTCAGGTGTACAGTTGTGGTGGATGAAACCAATACCTCCTGTAAGCTACAAGATGAACACACAAGTGAGTGATGACGAAGAGGCACAACCTTTGGCTGAGGCAGCACCCACGACCCTCAAGGCTCACCGCCATTGCAATGGCCATTCCAGCCTCTGTGACAGTGTCCATAGGTGAGGAAACCAATGGAGTCTTCAGTGTGATTTTCTTGGTGAGAGCAGAGGTCAAGTCCTGAGGAGAGAAAGGACCACTAAAGGGAAATACAGTTTATTCCTCATGGTCGCTCACAGGAGCCCTGGGTGACCTGCATGTTCACAGGGCTCTAGAGCATCCCACTTACTCGACCCTAACCACTAGAAGCCCAGTCTCCAATTAACAAACAGCAGCACTTTACCTCTCCATGATGTTCACAACCCAATTTCTAAAGACTGGGATATGCCTACTGTAATCTCAGCACTCACTCAGGAATCAGAGGCAGGAGGTCTGACACTAACTAGTTCGGGGTCAGTCTGGTCAACACAACCAGTTTCAGAGAAGCCAGGGTTGCAAAACAAAACAGGCCGGGATGGTGGCACATGCCTTTCAGCCTGGCACTGGGAGGCAGGGGCAGGTGTATCTCTGTGAGTTCAAGGCCAGCCTGGTCTACAAAGTGAGTCCAGGACAGTCAGGCCTGTTATACAGAGAAACCCTGTCTTGAAAAACCAACAAAGCAAAGCAAAAACAACTAAACAAAACACAAAATAGGAAAACTCAATGCCTTATACTCACCACCTGGTCCGCAGTGAAGTCGATATACCCAGGAAGAATGAGAAAATCGCTGTAGGAGGGAATCAGGCAGGACTCTCAGGCTTCTAACACCGAAACTCTCCACTCTACAGATCATCCCATAAAGCTGAGCGGGGAGTTGTTCTGAGCCGGTGTGCCACAGGTAAAATGGCATTGGGTGGGTAAGGGACTGGGGAGTCTTCTGCTGAGCTAGCTGTCATTAGTACTCTTGCACACTCACAATCCCATACGACTCAAGTCCTAACCACTGCTGAAACGACCCTCTCCAACCCAGCCCCACATCTGTCAGTTATTCTGCGGAGAGAGGTGATTTTCGGGACCTGTT